TCTCTCTCTCTCTCTCTCTCTCTCTCTCTCTCTCTCTCTCTCTCTCTCTCTCTCTCCCTCTCTCGCTCTCTCTCGCTCCCTCTCTCCCTCTCTCTCTTTCTCTCGCCATCTCCACCGACCTGAAAAGTCATGCCATGCTGGGTTTCCGTAGACCGTCAGAATGCCCACACATGTACGCGATCTGTAGTCGGGATTCGCACGGTGGCGATTATATTGGGTTCAGTCGCCGCGAACGAACAGTGTCGTGTGATCCAACAGGGATTTCTCTCCGTGAGTTCGATGTGTGATAGGGAGTCTATGACGTTCGGGGCCATTTGATCGTGACGTTTGATTGGGTCGTGTGATGAAGGCGGAGATCGCCTCTATGTCGCTCTCTCTCTCTCTCGCTATCTCTTTATCTCTCTTTCTGTCTTTTATCTCGTTCGTTTCACTGCGCTTGTCTGTGTCGTTCGCACAAAGTCTGCAAACATAACTTACAAGCGCAGACAAACGAACGAGACAGAACCAACAGCATCGTGTTCCACCACCATCGTCGTCAGTTTTCTATTAGTGCCTCTATGTCGTTCGTCTTTTCCGTCGGCCTGCTTTCGCGAATCTAGTTCCATTGGCGACCACTCGCCCCGATCACATGTCACACTTACACGTCCACGTGGCAGGTCCTGAACAAGCGTGGGCTCGCTGATGGATGAGGGGCTCTATGTGGCAACAAAATGTTGTCGAATAGAGCCCCGCACCCATCAGCGTGGCCACGCATGATCACGACTTGACACGTGGACATGTGTGTCGTCGTGTTCAACTACCATCTTCGTCCCCGTCGTTAGTTTGTCTTCAGCGCCTCTATTTCGTTCGTCTTATGCGTTGGCCTGTTTCTTTCGTGAACGTACCTCGGGGTGCGTTTGCGGATCTCGTTCCATTGGCGACCACTCGCCCCGATCAGATGGCACAGTCAAACGTCCACGTGTCAATTCCTGAACAAGCGTGCGCATGCTGATGGATGCGAGGCGCTATGCAGCAGCAGAAAGGATGCCAGGCTGCAATATAGCCCCGCACCCATCAGCGTGGCCACGCATGTTCAGGACATGACATGCGGACGTGTGAGTGTGCCATCTGATCGGGGCGAGATGAAGGAGTTTCGGGAGCAAGAATGCATGCGTTTCATTGGCGATCACTCGCACCGATCAGATGGCACACTCAAACGTCCACGTGTCACGTCCTGAACAAGATTGGCCACGCTGATGGATGCGGGGCTCTATGCGACAAAGGGGCTCTATACGGCAGCAGAATGGATGCGAGGCTCCAATATAGCCCCACGCCCATCAGCGTGGCCACGCATGTTCAGGACATCACATGCGGACGTGTGAGTGTGCCATCTGATCGGGGCGAGATGAAGGAGTTTCGAGAGCAAGAATGCATGCGTTTCATTGGCGATCACTCGCACCGATCAGATGGCACACTCAAACGTCCACGTGTCACGTCTTGAACATGCGTGGCCACACCCGTCTTAAACACTCAAGGACGAAAACACCCGTCTTAAACACTCAAGGACGAAGACACACCATGCGAAATTCGGTTGGACCCGACGACAGCTGGGGAATAACGGAAGCTCGGATGGCTGGATGGGCGTAAACAGACCGCGGGGTCCATTCGCCGGTCCCCGTCTCGGATTAATCCAAGCCACATTTGCGAAGTTCAGGTTCAACCGAACCGAACCTCCGGCAGGATAGGGTTAACCCAGTGCTCGCAGGTCGGTGACGAAAACACGTGCTGTAGATGACCTCTTGTGGACGACCGTCTCTGAACCGCGCTGTTCGATTTCGGATGCATCCGAGTCACAACCGTTACCGACTCAGAAGGACAAGAAAACTCGAGTTCGGTACGGGCCGACAAGGGGAGGTCCACACCACTTTGGAACTCGGATTCATTCGAACTACAACGGCGGACTTTACGATCCACTTGTCGACTTCGGATGACAACGTATTCGTCTTCGTCTGCCGTATCAGCGTTCTAGGGCCTTCTTGCGAGGTGTTGCTTTTCTTGGTGCAGGTGCCTATGCGACATCGTTTTTTCGACTGCGCCTGCTTCGGATGTATCCGATCTATCCCGCGGTCTTCGTTTTCGACCATTCATTCTCTTAAGGGCAGTGTGACGAGGATGGCTCACGATGCCTCGGATTCATCCGAAACGTGCAGGCTTGTGGACCACTGTCGTCTAACTATGACTGAACTTCGTTCTTTTGGAGTCCGGGTGACCAATAACAGAATACGTGCTGTGGGTCGTGGTTGATGTTGGGACGTGCTGACTGTTCTGAGTGAATGTGGGTTCATTTCCTCCGTGTGTTTCAGGGAATGGCTTCACACGGACGAGGCCGCTCCGCTGGTGGTTCCTCCCCGCACGGAGAGGAGCGTCGAGGGACGACGTCGTCACCGACAAGGGAAACGAGTCGGGGAGCTGGAGGTGGGGAGGAAGAACGACGTGCTCAAAACTTGTGGTGCGACTACAGCAAATGCGTCTGGTATTTGGACAGGGCGAGCCAGGACGGCTCCGACCCGTTGCAACCACCGTGCGGGCCGCTCTTGTTCGTCGCCGTTTGCGCCGACAGAACGCGTCTCGCAGGGTCCATCATCCAGTGGGTCGACGATGGCGAATACAATTTCAAGTTTACTTTGAAGAAGCATTACAAAAGTGATTGTTCTGTCGACGGCATCGCAAAGGGATGCAAGGTTGTCAGGAGGATCTTCGGCGGGTACGGTCGTCGTGCGATATCTTTGCCTCACTTTCTCCCGCTAGCGCCGGGGCACGACGAGGTCGTTCACGTCACAGACTTCCTCGAGGTCTAGGCGAAATCTGGTACCTCTGTCAGTGCCGTGGACGTCGGACCTGGAACATCGATCAGTGGTCCTGTTGGGTTCGCGGGAGGAGAGTGCTCTGAAAGGGAGATGGGAAGTCAGGGTGGCCTGCCAGCTACGCCTCCTGATCAAGAGGTGGGCGTGTCAGACGACTCGGAGGACAACCATCCGCGTGCTCCTTTGAAACCGGGCTTGCATGTATCTTGCCGCCACAGTTTGCTTGGGGAGTCAACGCCACATGGAGGCGGCGATGGCGAACGGTTGCGACAGGGATCAGAATCGACGACTCCTCGTGGTCTGGTCGAAAGGATCGGTTCGTTCGTTTGTGGCATGCAGGTGGCCGAGGTTTCGCCTTGAGATCGAGCGGGTGGTCCGCAGGTTCGAGAGGTGCGTGGGTCAGATGAGACGACTCGCCGGGCCCGACCAGCGCCGGAGGAACTGCAGACGGAGTTGAGCCAGGAACGAGAAGCAAGTGGGAACGTCGCCGGTGAGGAGGAGGTGTCCGAGCAGGGGCTGTTCCGTGAGAGATCGGCTGAAAAGACTCAGTCGGGAGGTAAGCGCAACTTGCCGGATGAGGAAGAGCGAGAGGGACTAGGTGCTTCGAAAAGGCAGAGAAAGGTAGGAGGGAGTGCTCGGACGCCAAGAACACGAGAGGGCGGTTCCGTTGAGAAGAGGAAAAGGGTTGGAGGTGGGGATGAAATGCCAAAAGACTCGTCGACACAACGAAGAACCGGTGAGTCTTCCGGGAAAAGGGCGAAATCATCGAGGGGGAAGAAAGCAGACGAGGGCGACAGCGGGGAGGGGGATGACGACGTGGAGATTAACCTCAACGTCTTTAACCTCGACAATGCGTTCTTCCTCGAGATGCAGATAAGGGTGCAGAAGGTCGTCGTGTTGCACATCCATCCTGAAAGAATATAAGCTATTCCAGACTGGGAAGACGCATACAACCACCGATCCTTGGACGAGTTCCTTGTTGATACCATCGCGTCGGCTATGATCGACTGCTACGAACGTAAAGACATGAGATACACGAAGCCCATTTTCGTTCTCGCTCCAATCGTCGCGCCTCCAGAGAACGGCGAACCTGCTGTGCGCGTGCTGCCTACTGACTTCGACAGCTCACACCCGGAGAAATACTGGTATTATCCTGTGTGTGGACAGCATAACGTGAGGGCGGAATGATGGTGAAAGACCATCCAGTGTTTGATTACTACAACTTCTGTAAATGGCCGTTCAGACCGATCTACTTCCCTGACGACGAGTTCAACGGCTACGCCCATGTCAGCTGCGAAGACAGCATGAAAGACAAGAAGAATCCACCGCACTTGCAGGTTTTGTGTATGCGGGACATTTGCAATATCTGGAAAATTAAGGGCAAACCGCGTGTGGTGCTCGGCAATGCCTTGAAGAAATAGAACGAGGTGCGAAAGTGGGTGCGGCTCATGGCGTTGGCAATGAAGAAGACGCTGTACACGCCTATCTGGAACCTCTCAACGGAAGCAAAGAAAAGAAAGGAATGGGCTGAGAAACTTCGATACTACCTCCCGCTGGTCATGGCAGATGACTCCGTCTTCGCTTTGGGGTTGAAGTTCTATGAGGAGTGGTCGAAAGGGAAACTCCTTGCTTCCTACGCCCAGCATTGGACTGAAAAGCCGCCCACCCATGAGGAGGTGGCCAAGCCAGGACTCTCCACTGTGACTGACAGCCAGGGGCTGAAGAAACACGTCTGGTACGTGAAGGTGGACGACCCGTCGTTGAAAAAGGGCAGGGGGAAGCCAAAGAAAGGCGCGGAGGAGAAAACTTTCTACGTCCAAGTTCCAGAGCCAGATGTCCACTGCTGGAAAGAATTGGTGGACTTGATGGACCGCGAGAAGAAAAGGTTGTTGAATGACGTCTTGAACCTTAATGTCGTGTGGGTTCAAACGAGTAGCAAAAAGTTGGCCGAGCAGGGGAAGTTCAGTGTCAAGGAGATGGTCGACATAATAAAAATGGACCGGATTATGCTGAGGTTGTGGCACTACGTGGAGTTTAAGTACGAGGAAATGGATAAGCGGGAGTGGAATGCCAACTCCACGTTCTTCGGGTCCAAGAAGCAACTGTTCGAAGAGTTCAAGGACAGAGGTCTCGACGACAAGCTTTGGAACGAGAGCAGGAAATTTTTCACGGACATCACATACGTCAACGAGTGCCCTCAGTTTCTCGGGTGTCAACACGACAACAACATCAAGAGAACAGCGGCCCTCGTCAACGACCAGCATTTCCCGGCAGAGTGAAAGCGTGTCGTCCTTTCGGTGATCAGTGGAGATCGCGCCAAAGGCAAAAAAAGCCCTCGGGGCGTTGATGAATGCATCAACATTATGTGGAAAAGGACAAGTGCCTTGACGACGCTGGCCTTGTTTAACATCGACCCATTGAGTGCCAGAGATCATAAGGAGGCGCTAGGAAAACTAGGGCATCAGCTACGCCCCCACACTTGCGTGCTCGACTTGTGCGGTGCTGTGGACCGTGCGCAACGGGACTCTGGGGCATTCGCATCTCTGAGTGCATTGCTCGGCTTCGTTTGTCAGGACTACTGGACATTGGTGATATTCGTCCCCTGCCTGTGGAACCTCTCCTTCATGACATGTTTGTCTGCGCTTGGGGCTACCTGATGCTAAACGGGGAAGTGGGTTCGGAAGACGGCATCGAAGAAGACGCATCAGTTTGGAAACATCGTCTGGGAGGAGCCGGATGTGATGCACATCCTTTTCAAAGGCGAGGATCCTCGGCTACTGACTCACCGGTGTACGAGGGAGCTGTTGCTGAAAACGACGCCGCCGCTCTCCGGAGGAAACAAAAAGTGACACCCACGGATGTGGAGGAGAAGTCTTTCAAGTCTTTGACTTTCGTGGACATCGGAAACCTGACCCAGAGGGGGGCTCTATACAAGGACGGCGAGTGGAATCCGAATCAGTTGTGCAATCAGCTTCTTTTCTTCTATGGTGTGGCGGATGCCGTGCTGTTCTTGGGCAAGCCACACGCGCAGGTGGTGTGGAGTCTGCTTCAGCAGGGAAGGCACGTCTTGGCCGTGGATGGGGACACAACACAGCTCTAATACACCGTGCAGTATGTCACCCATGAAGTGTCGTCCAAGGCTTACCCATGCGATTTCCACCATGTCGTGGTCGAGCCCGTTTATGACCCAAACAAGGACATGTTCTTACAGTTGAGATTTGACCCGCAGTACGTGGTGCGGAAGGAAGTCGCCATTGCGGTCCTCCAGGGCTACCACGGAGCGAGTCGGGCCGGCGTTGTGAGCTTCATTAAGAGGCTGGAATATGTCTTTTTTAACGAGGATGTTGTCGATCCGGCCGACTTCACTTTGGATAAGCACAAGCTGGCATTCGGTGAGGAGGACGACTTTAATATCGAGACTGAGCAGGAGGAGAGCGTTGAGGACGACCTCTTCGATTTGGACGGGCAATTGGCCATCTTCAACGCCCAAGTTTCTGAGTCGCCATCAGTATGCAAACAGGGGACACCTCTCGCTACACCTACCTCGGGGGGTCCCACGCCCGTATCCTCCTCATCGCCTGTCAAGAGGGGTGGGTTGTCCCGTCTGAGGAGTTCGCCGGGGGAGCCTATTCGTCTCACACCGCAGCCCGAACGTCTTCGACCCGGCCATCCAGTTCCTCCGGACCATCTGCATCTCAAGGCTCCTGCGACTCCCTTCCACATGGGCGACAAACACACCTTCTCCACAGCCGAAGATTGGGGCCATGATATCGTGTGGCACCCAGACCATTTCCAGCCAGTCCTTCTCGACGGCGAATGGGCAGTGGCAGTGAGGGACGCAAGTGCACGGTGGATATATGACGATCGTTGGGACCTCGAGACATTCAAATCTCGCGCCTACGATGCGGTATTGGAGAGATTAAGTGAGGTCAATCGAGGAAATAAGGACGACCCTGCTCTTCGCGAATACGGGGACACGCTGTTCGAGTTCTTGCAGTCAAATAAATGGCTGGAAGTGTCCTCCGCGTTCTAGGCCCTTCCGTCAAGCCCGTCAATTAAGCAAGTGAGTTGGGAGTTGCCTGGGGTCACCCCGCCGGCAGGAGTTGTGAAGCGCAAGTCTCGCGGAAAGGACGGCAACGGGGATGGTGAAGGCGGCGGGCAACGAGGTACCGGAGGTGGAAGTGAACAGCGTTCGACGAAACAGCGGTCTCCGGGGCGCGCAGGCGGCGGAGAGGGGAAAAAGGGCAGCCGGGAGAAGAAGAAGCCTCGCAGCGGAGAGAAGACAAAGCATCACAGAGGAGACGGGCAGGGGTCCGATGTCGACCGCGACGAGGACGGTGGGGTTCTGGCGGTAACAGGCAGCACCTCAATGGAGACGGGGAATGACTTGAGGCCTGGGTGTATTACGCGGCCTGGCGAGCAGGACCTTGTGATTAGCTCCACCAGCGAAACACATTTTGTCGATGCGGTTGGCGGGGCGGGTGTCGCAAAGCATGGATCATGCTTCGCTCAGCTCCAAAAACGGTCGGCGGATTGTCTCGGATCAATCCGAACCTCGGAGACGACCTCGTTGTCCGGAACTCGGTGCCTTCCGGGAAGCGAGACGACAACATACCACGGATCCGGCAGCGACAAGCTGGAACCGTGTTCCGTTTCGCCTCAAAAGGAATTTTGGATTAATCCGAACCGCGAAGGCCGTGGCATCGAGGGAGCACAACTGTCTACAGAACTCGAACGGGTGGTCTGGGTTTTCGAAAACCCTGGTGACGAAATTCGGATTCATCCGAACCAGGAAGCCGTGTCTGTCATGACAGACGATCGGTGTCAGGATGCAGTAATGCTGTGCGTGGAAGCCCACAAGGAGCTGCAGGCGGACTGTCGGACTGAGGGTGAGTTGGCGACCAGTTCCAATGTCGAGCCTAACACACTCGGAGCCGAGTTAGCAGTCGTAAGCGACTCCCCAGTGAAAGCGGTCATGTCGGCGTCATTGGAAACTGCGGGGGCTCGGATGAATCCGAACCAAGGTCCTGTGAACATCTCCCTCCCTGATGCATCTTTGGAGACGACCGTGATTCGGATTCATCCGAGGCACACGGACGAAGGACTTCAACTGGCAGGCGTTGAGGGTTGTCAACTACTGACGACTTTGGACAAGGACAATTCCGCCGACGACCGAATTGATCCGACACTCAACGACGTCGGGATAGAGCTACCAGTTCAGCCGGGATACGACGATCCCTTGTACTCCGCCCTTCACAACGAGGCGATGGGGGAGGACGTTCTGAAGAAGGCCTCTGACGCTGTTGGAGATAGATTTATCTATTTGAGTGACGACGACAAAAACACAACCTACGGGGACAAGAAGTTAAGGTGGGAAGAGGTGTTGTTGGACATCCATGGGACATTGAGCCCAACACAATACGACATAGTGACAATGGAGAAAACACAACCTGTCGATGTTGTGGACATCGACGATCTTTGTCCGGAGACGAATATACCGTCTACGGTCATCGACGCCGACATCTCGAGCCTGTCAAGTTTCCCTGTGGGTTTGGAGCACGTCGTCGCCGCGTCGACGCGCGCAGGGGTGCCAATCGTGCTGGGACTGCCGTCGGTGGGCTCTGGTGAAGTGGTAGCTAGGCCTGGTAAGCACTGACTTTCTCTGCTTTCTTCCCGCTCGTCAGCCCGTTCGTGAAGTGTTGTTTGCTTCGTCGATTTCGGGGAGGTGTATAGGCGACCGCCAACTGGATTGTGACGATGTGCTTCGTGAGGTGCTGTTTGCTTGGTTGCTCTTGCGAACTTGTGTTGTTGATCTCCTGCTAAACTGTCTAGATGGCTATTTCTTGTACACGTCGACGAACTCGTGGACAAACACCCATGTCGCAGGAGCCGCCTGCCCTCGCCAGGTTGTTAGTCCTGATTGCAGGTTGTCAGTCCTGGGGACACTAAGCCTCGAGGCCCTCCCAGAAGGGTAGTCGTGCCCATATTGGGCTCCCGCGCAAGACTCGTTGTAGAGGTAGCGGGTGTTGCCGAAAAAGACTGCAAGGAATTCCTTCTCGAGGTTTGCAGGGATATAAAGGACAGTGCTAGTTTAGAATCAACTGTGTGTAGAAGGTCCACAAGTAGGGGTGACGTTATACGTGAACTTTTCGGACCATAGAGTAGCGGTTCCTCGGACCATGGGCGCTAGGACGGCATTTTCTCATAGTGCCCCGTCCTTTGTGCTTGCTGTGTGTTGCGGGTGTTTGTTGAACAGGGTTTCCTCGAGATGGAAGAGTGGTCCTTGAAGACGTTATCTGCTCCCGGTTGCCGCTCACTATCATCGTCGCTCGTTTGCCGTCGCACAGTTTACAGGTATCCGTCAAGGACATCGTCGCACTCGTGGATAGATCCGGGGAGCTTAACGATGAGGTTGTCAATTTCTACATGGCGATGTTACTGGACGACTGCGGCCGGACTGCCGCTACCATGAAGACATACACCTTTAACTCCTTCTTCGCCTCTTCACTGCTTCTGCGAGGTCCGACAACTGTTCTCAGATGGGCTAAAGATGTCGACCTCCAGTCTCATGACCTCGTCTTGGCACCCGTGCACAAGGACGACGAACACTGAAGCCTTTTGGCCATTTACTTCTCTAGACGTGTTTTGGAAATCTATGATTCTTTCTCGTGTTCGTCATCCAAAGATTCGTTCTACTCCGCACTTCTGGATAAAACTGTTAAATTTTTAAACACGGTGGCAGGTGCCGCCGGTGATGGTCGCACTTTCGACCACTTCGCTTGCGAGGTCAGCGTGAAAGGTGTCCCTCGGCAGCACGACGGGGCTAGTTGTGGGGTGTTCATGTTGATGTTCGCTTTCTGTTTGGCGAGAGGTTTACGTTCACCTTTTGGTTTTTCCCATAGACACATCTCCTCTATAAGAGCTAGACTAGCTTTGGCGATTTGCGATGTTGGTAGGTAAGTGTCTATCTCTTTGTTGATCATGTAGTGTAGAAGGGTTGACGTAGAAGAACATTTCGTTCTTCTCCGGACGAAATTTGTTCCTTTTCATTTTTTCCGTGAGGGACTGGTGGGTGTTCTCGGTTTGGTTCAGAGCAGAACTGGCTGTCACTGCCAGGAAATCTCCGGGTGAACTTGTCATGTCCCCGGCGTGTTTGTCGTCGACAATATTGTTCTTTCTCATTGGATTTCAACTATCACGAACGTCCCCGTTGTTGGGGTGCCTGTTTCGTGATTGAATATCTCGCTTTCGTCATTTTGTGCCTTATGTGGTGTGATGTTCTGCCCGCATACTCGGATCCATCCGGACTCGAACTAACTCTATGTTTTTCTGCCTCTCTCCCGAACCTCTCCCGTCGTCTACCCTCATCTATGCATTTTCACTTTGAATGTTGTGAGGCGTCACAGAGAACAAAATACAGCACACGGGCCTCTTTATACATTTGATGGTCCGTCTGGCCCTCTGCACTGTGTGCTTTGTAATTCCGACATTGAATGTTGTCAATTCTTTGGCCCGAGAAAGCTCCCCTTCTGCAAGAGCATTCATACATTCGGTTCCTATGCATTACCCAATACAATGAAAAATTTGAATGTGCCGAGAGGGAAAACCCAAAAGGCGACGCCAATGGCTGCTCGAATGTGATGAGATTTGAATTAAGGTGGCACGACTAAAAATACAATTGCATGATTGGACAAAATTGGGTGTGGTGACGGAAGGATAAATCACAAGGCGAAGCCGATTGATACTACAAAGTGACACAAACTGAATTGAGCTGG